CAGGGACAAATTCAGGGACTGTGGGCTGGGGATGTGGCTCAAGTGGTAGCGTGCTCGTCTGGCATGTGTGTGGCCTGGGTTTGATCCTCAGCACCACATATAAACAAAGATGTTGTGTCTTCCAATAACTAAAAAATAAATATTGAAAAATTCTCTCTCTCTCTCTCTCTTTCTCTCTCAAATAAATTTAGGGACTGTGCAGAATAGGAAGTCTGGCCCTGTTTCTGTGCTCAATCTGTAAAAGCAAAATAGAGATGTGTCCTGTGTTGTCTTTTTTTGCGGGGAGGGGTGTTATCAGGGATTGAACTCAGGGGCACTCAACACTGAGCCACATCTCCAGCCCTATTTTGTATTTTATTTAAAGGCAGTGTCTCACTGAGTTGCACAGTAACATAGTTGCTGAGGCTTTGAACTTTCAATCCTCCTGCCTCAGCCCCACTAGCCACTGGGATTACAGGCGTGCACCACCAGGCCTGGCCTGTGTTGTCTTGACATGAGAAATCTTAGAGTAAAAATGATGGCTCTGTCTTTTCAGTTCTCCTATTCTTCCATAGTTTTTAAAAAATATTTTTTATTTGTAGATGGACACAATATCTTTATTTATTTTTATGTGGCACTGAGGATTGAACCATGGCCTCACACATGCAAGGCAAACGTTCTACCACTGAGCTACAACCCCAGGTCTATCCTTCCATATTTTAAAGCTCAGTTTAAGTTATATGATCACCCAAGCCTTTGTTAAACTAGGTCATGTATTGAAAAATTTTCTACAAAGGACCAAATTAACATCTTCAGTTTTGAATATCTTCTAATCTCTATTGCACCTAATCTACCCTGCTGTTATATTATGAACCCAGTCGTAGGTAATATATTATTGAATAAACATGCTGAAACTGTATTCTAATAAAACTTTATTTACAATAGCAGCCTGTGGACTAGAGTTTCAAAATCCTTGAACTACAGCATTGGTTCAATTGCAAGAAAAACTACATGCTAAAAATATTCTAGAGTAATTTTGCATTTTATTTTCAAGAAAAGTATTTTTAGCCACTTTGGGGAAATCTATTCATAAGAAAGTGATATAATTAACTATCATATACCAACGTCATTGTTTAAAACAATGTAAACAAGCACTATGTAAGGTATAGCAGTAATGTAAAACTTTTTTAGTTACATCTGGTAACTAATTAAATTTCACAATTGAACCTGTTTCTTCCAAATTTCATCTGCAAGGTTCCTAAGTAATTAGTTTCTAATCTTACCTGTTTCTTTTCCCATTTAGCCCGGTTAAAATCAAAATGTTGTCTCTCAGCAGCATTCATGTTATCACTCCTCCTTGAGCAGTGACTATAGTATATTTTTCTTCATCAAAAAAGGAAGAAAAAAGATGGACAACATTTGAATGATAATAAAAATTTGTAGTTGTCACAACTTTTAAATGATAATATTTAAACATAATTTCTTAATGTGTTGATCAAAACCATGCTTTGTGGAAGAATGTATGTGTCAGAGGTGATTTTCATTTTCTCTGTGTCTCTAATGCTCAATGTTAAGTGAATTACTAAGTGCAGATTCTCAGGATTAAAGTGTTGGGATATTGAAAGTACAGGAGAAACGGGTGAACAAGACATGGTTTTTAAAAAATTCCATGGTATAAACTTTTATGAGGTTCGACCTCTAGAAATATAGGGCACCATTATCTAGGATATGGAATACTGTGTTTCTGGGGCCAAAATTCTGAAATACTATGGGATTGAAGATTGAAATCCAAACAAAAGTGGCAAATCAAAAAGAAGCCACTAACTGGAGGGAACTGACTTTTGATTAGACCTAAAGATAGGCTATCTCAAGCTATAAACATGGTTAAAAACAACCAAAAGGCCATTGGGAATCCCTGAGTAAAGAAATAATTGAGGGCTGGGGATGTGGCTCAAGCGGTAGCGCACTCGCCTGGCATGCGTGTGGCCCGGGTTCGATCCTCAGCACCACATATAAACAAGGATGTTGTATCTGCCAAAAACTAATAAATAAATAAATAAATAAATAAATAAATAAATAAATATTAAGAAATTCTCTCTCTCTTTTTAAAAAAAATTTTAAAAAAAGAAACAATTGACAGCTAATGTAGACTTTAATGTCATAACACTCCTGTTGGGATTTTTTTCCAAATGTAATTTATGAACATATGTTCTAGGGTCTAAACACATTTGAAAATGTGTTCTATATTTAGTTCACTTTTCCTCAGTTATCTTCGTTCATTCTAACCCTTTTGTAATGTCAACCCTTTGTTTTCTCATGTGTAATTACTTAGCAGTTCTCTGATTTTAACTAAACATATTGGAATAATGACAGAAATTTTGTTTCACTGTGTCACAACAGTTGCTGAAATAAATTTAAAACTTTGACTAATTTGTAATGGAAAGAATGTGCTATGCTATTGTTACTCCACCTTTTTATTTTCTGGTATATGGACATGGGAGGGAGATTGATTGTATAAGATTTTTGCAGTTGGGGCTCTGGAACATTGAGAATAACAGAGAAGGAAGATGAGTATAGAAAGAGAAAGCAGTCAGAGATGGGTGAAACTTCATCCCTCAAGAAGGATCATTGAACAGAAACAGTGAACCACCTTTGGTTTTCACTGATACCATTTGGGGATGTTTGGATACCGTAAACCTCTTGAAGGATGAAAAAGTGGTTAATGGTGGTAAGATGTTTATAGTATTTTTAAATTAACATGAATGAGTGAGTAAGTAGAGTAGAAGATAAAGCTGTCTTAATAATAGAAAGCCCTCAATTATAAAGGAAATAATAGAGGTTGTTTTTTTCTTTTTAAATCAATATTTGGTAAGAAGCATAAGTTTTTCATTTAGGAACCATCAAAGGAAGCTAAAATTTGCAAGGAAATTTGAGGATTCACAGGATATTTCCATAGTATGCAATTATCTGCTCCACGAGGTTATAAAAGGAAAATAGTAATTTCATGGTAAAATACCTGATAGACACTACCTGAATAAAGAAGTGATGTGTAATACAACCAATAATAGAAATATTGGAGTTACATTACATTTGGATGTATTAAGAAGAACCCAGTTTTATTTCTGTGGTATCATTGACATAAACTGAATATACTTGTGAGGAAACATCAGACCCAAATTCAGTGACGTTCTACTCTTAGTTGACAAACATTAATATTGCTGAGTAAATGATCTAGATTATTTCACACTAAATAGAATTGAATGCAATATTGATTCAGGATTTCTATAAAGGATAGAAAAGAATTGGACAAATTGAAGAAAGTCTAACAAATTATAGTATGATGTAAATGTTTAACTTAGATAATGATACTAAGGCTTTGTAACAAGGAGGTCAGAGGTATCATAGCTACAATTTTGAAGTTGTTTAGATAAAATGATAGATGCTTGTACATATTTTTGAAAGAAATTCTAGAGAATATGAGAAGAGACAGATGGAACTAGATGTAGTAAAATCCTTTGAAAGAATGTGCCTGAATCTTATTTTGGAAGTTTTAGTGTTTTTTTTTTTTTTAAACCTCCCATCCCCCAATATTAGGGTTTTAGCTATATAAACATCCCTCCAAGCACTGCTTTAGGTGCATCCCATGAATTTTAACATAATGTATTTTCATTTGTTTAATTCAGAATATTTTCTAATTTACCATGAGATATCTTTAAACCACATGGCTTATTTAGATTATATTAACTGCCAGTCTTTGCATGGTTTTCCAATTTTTTGTTTTCATTTACTCTTTAATTTTGATTATAAATTGCACTTTGTATACTTCAAGCATTAAAAATTCATTAATGTGTGCATTATGGCCCAGGATAGGCTTCATCATGGTGAATGTTCATGTGAATTTAAAATGTTTATTATATTCCATTGTTGTTGCATAGAATGTGCTATGAATGTCAGATCATTTGTTGTGGTTTTGTTCAGTTCTTTATGGATTTTTATGGATTTTCTGTATACTCACACTATTGATTACTGAAAGAAGAATGTTATAGTATCCATACGAAATTGTAGATAATCACTTCTACTTTTTGCTTCTTTCTCATTGAAGCTATTGTTGGTTGCATTCAGATTCATGACTTTTATCTTCTTGGAGAAGGGATACAGAAAATATTCCTCATTTTTTCCTTTCTTTGCTACTTTATCTTCCTTTTAACTTATGTTTGCATGATAAATCTTTCTACTACATTTTATTTCTTTTTGTGGGGTTGTATAGATGATAGTGGGGCTAGAACTCAGGCCCTCATGTGTACTAGACAAGTCTTCTACACTTGAGCTACATCTCCATCCCCATCCTGAAGGGGCTTAACCAACTTACATCATTATATTTCAGGTGGTTTGTTATAAATAGCACATACCATATTTATGTTTCTTGATAAATACTTTCATGGTTTCTCTTTAAGCCCACCCCTCCTTCCTGAACCAGGCTAGGAGATAGCAGAGAAGAGGAAAACTACCAAATATATTGATATGTTTATGACACTTTTGAGTTCTGTATTTCATCTTGAAATATCTATTCTTTAGAGTCCTGGGATAATATATTCATGTTTCTCCTGAAATACTTAATTGAATTGTGTATTTTTTAATTTGTTTTAATTAGCTACACATGACAGTACAATGATCTTGACATATCATACTTTTGAATCAGATGGGATATAATTTCTCATTTTTCTGAGTGTACAGGTTGCAGAATTACATTGGTCATGCAGTCATGTATATACCCACAGCAAAAATAATGTCTATTTTATTCTTCTGTCCTTCCATTCCCCCCTTTTCCTTCCTTCGCCTTCCATCACTTCTTTCTACCCAATCTAATGTGACCCACTTCTTTTTTCCCCCTCACATTGTCTGACTTGTTTGCAAATAACCACTGTTAATGATAACTACCATGAAATTCATTATTGTTATTTTATTAATGAATTTCTTGTATTTTTGATCTGATTTGTTTTCTTCATGATATTTTCTTGCAGGTCAAAATTTATAACATGTTAGAGTGCTTCAGGGAAGAGAGGTGAGCAATTGATGTGGCACTTTTAAAAATTTTTTATGTACTATGGCCAATAATGTCACAACTTAAAGGCTTGTGAGTTCCCAATTTCAAAGGCTTGATGGAGAATAATTTTATGATAATAATTTTCCCCATGGGTATTCCTTCATTGTTTAAAGAATTATTATTATTGTTTCTTCCCTTTGAAAATTTATTTTTGAAATAGCATGAATAATTTTGGTGAATATCTGACATACTTTCTTTTTTCACCATTTTGTTTTGTTTTAAGTGATCTTATAGTGAAGTTTAAATGTGCTATATATTTATTGTATATCTGGAACAATGAAAACATAGATGTTTCTTCTCATTATTGTAGTATAATCATGCTATTTATTTATTTATTTGTTTTGTTTTTGGTACCAGGAATTGAAACTAGGAGTACATCCCAGCCCTTTTAAAATATTTATTTAGAGATAGGGTCTTCTAGCTGAGTTACTTAGACCTTTGCTAAGTTGAAAAGGCTGGTTTGAACTTGTGAGCCTCTTGCATCAGCCTCCCAAGGTCCTAGAATGTGCCATTTTTTTAATTTTTGTGTTACTTCTTAAAATTTCAGTGTATTAAAAATATTGTGTTTTAAAGTTTTCTAATAGATGTCACCTAATTTTGTTAGAACAAACCAACATCATATATGTATGCTATATATTTTAGAGGTCCATTTTTCACCTATTAAACAAAATGTCTTTTGTACATGTAATGTATGACAAAAATAAAAAATAAAAGCCTGGCTATGGTAATGCTTATTTGTTGGGAGGGTGCTTGTATGGATCAATGATGAGCACAATTGTCTGAGGATGCTGAGAGACTCATTCCAGATGTCAATCTGAGGTCTAGACGAGTAACCCTCGAATAGGACAAATAAGATTCTCAGAGCCTGGCTCTATTGGTGGATCCTTAATGAAAATATAATAAAAGTGTAAGATTGCCTTTTCTTTCTCTCAAAATATTACTATCCTGTCTTATGTACTTTTATTACATTCAGTTACCCATGGCTTATTTTATTTTCCTCATTTGAATGAAATTGTAGATAGAATATATATAGGAACTATTAATAAGTGAGGAAAAGAGAAATTGAATTAAAATCGATTCAGCTACTGTTATAGGTACTAAAAGACTAACCAGAGGTGGGATAAAGAGAAGAATTTTGTATGCTTATATTAAATGTTGACCATGAAACAATTTTAGTGTTTTGTCATTTTTATGCAAAATATTTTCTGAGACTACTTTTCTTCCCTGTTTTGTTTTGCTGAGGTAGAGAAGAGGAGGGCTTTAATGAGGTCTTCCATTTCAGAAAATAGGGGTAAGTAGCTGAATCAGCCTACTCTGAAATTCATACACCGTGTTATTTGCCTCATCTTCAGAGTTTTGTGTTTATTTTGTCTGTGACTTATCGGACAATATCTATATGAAGTGACTTTTTATTTGTTGAACTACACCTGCATTACTAAATTATCAGATTTTTGCATGGAATGATAATTATAAAATTTGGGGAATTTTTTGCAGTTTTATATTATAATAAAATATCTTTTGGGGTACTCTAAGTATGCTGAAGGTTATCGTAAAAATATTTGGTTACAGTGCATTGACTTTATGATTAAGATTATCATCCAGATCGCTTGGGTCAGATTCTAGTTATTATGGATGATTATTACTATTCTTCTCATCATGAAGATTTGAATTTATTATTTTCTTACACTTTTTTTTGAAAATATAATGTCAATTTTAATGAACAAAAATTTTTTTTATTGTTGGTTGTTCAAAACATTACATAGTTCTTGATATATCATATTTCACACTTTGATTCAAGTGGGTTATGAACTCCCATTTTTACCCCATATACAGATTGCAGAATCACATCAGTTACACTTCCATTGA